GTCTCCATCCCACACGATTCAAGGGATGCCTGTGCCTACTTTGTGGAGGCAGCATCTTCTCAAGTGGCTTTTAAACCTACCGCGAGATTTGAAATAGAGGTGAGTGAACAAACGTTTCATCCTGTCGAAATCAGAAGGCGTCAGCAGTAGAAAATAAGGCAAAGCGAGTTGAGCAATTTCCGGATGACACTAACACATCCGATGTAGTCCGAATCGTATTAATTACAGGCACTGCGTCAGTGAGAGGTTAAGGAAGTGAAGACCAGAGGACTAAGTCGGAGGGGAACGCGGATTCAGAGCTTTCCAAACAATATGTTGATTCCTCTTCAGTCACCTCCGAAGGATAGTGGCTCTCGAAGAGGCAAACTATTGTAGCTGCAAGAGATTCGTAATTTCTTTTGGGTCGTGTTGTTTTAATGCAACTTTGCGAAGTGAGGCGAAATTCAATGTGGTAAGTAATGGTGTTTCTTCTGGTGGCTGATCATTTGGTGATTCTTAATTTCTCACCGCTTTTTGGTTACTGGAATTGATGCTACAGCACTGGCCCTTGTTTAAAGCAGAGTTAATTAAGGAATTTTCTAAATTTTCGTTGCACATGGAAACAACGTAAAACAGTTGTATATATTCATTCTAAGTAATGTAATTTTGACACCTGGGAGTGAATATGTGATATTAAAATAAACGAATTCTAACAAGTGCTATTGTTGTATTCATTGCAAGCCCATTGGAATGATTGTTATGAAAGGTAGCAGTAAGTGTTCATCTCCAAAGGAAAACAAAAAAATACCTCTAACATTTTCCATACATTACCCATAGATTTTAAACCAATTAGCTAAATCGTTTTTTCCCATTTGGTTTGAGTGGAATGCCTTAACTTGTAAAACCACAGCCTCAATCCCCTTTCCACTATCATGATTGACAAAAGTCGAGATTTTACTTGTGAGTCATAAAGCTGCTTTTTTGGTAAAAAATGATGATTCATCCTCCACCAACACTTTGTTTGACGAGAATTTTAAACACTCATTAAGTACAAATATCTGTAGTAGGTATTAATGACCAAATCCCAGCAAGTGCG